AGGTAGGTTGGCTTTTTTTGACAAATGAACATACAACAAACAACTGACATAGTTGCATACAACTATTAATTTCTTTTCATAGTAATCAAATTTTTAGGGTAAATTGATAGCCAAAGTGGCTCTTGGCAGATAAATTTAATCAAGTTTACTGCATACCAATGTTTTTTTGACGTAGAGGAAAACTGTTTCCTTGGAAAATATCAATTTGATCAAGTTGGGAAGTCTGAATGTTTGGTTATGTATCTATTGATGTTTGTTTGCCCTTTATCCATTTAATTTTGAAATGATGGATCAGACACATTACAGTGATAAATTATAACTTGCATTAGTACTTACTAAATCTGCTGTTTGCTATTTCATGGATTGATTGCATATAGATTCAAACTAGGCTTACCTTCCTTATATGTATATGCTCCTTTACTTGGAACAACAGGACAAGTGCAGACTTTCAATTAAAATGAAACATTTGTAAGTTGTTAGTGAATTTTTATGCCCCCGCCATAGTGGAGGGGGCATTAAGTTTTACCCTTGTCTGTCCGTACGTCCCAAAGTTGGTTTCCGTTCTCTAACTTTAGTTTGCCTCAACCAAATGTTATGACACTTATACAAAATGCTTATTACCACAAAACACAGATCAAGTTTGAATTTTGGTGGTGTCACTTTTACTGTTCTAGAGTTATGCCCCTTTACAAATTGAAAAATTGCTGAATTTTTCCTTTCTGTTCTCTGACTTAAGTTTTTCTCAACCAAATGTTATGAAACTTGTACACAATACTTATTACCACAAAACTCAGATCAAGTACAAATTTGGGTAACATCACTTTTACCGTTCTTCAGTTATGTCCCTTTATAACTTTATATGATATGCAAGCGGGGTATCATCTGTGTCCCATAGACACATTTCCCATTTATTTTTGTTATAAGGAACTTAGTTATGAAAACCTATCCATGTTGTCACAAGTAAATGGCAGATTTGTTATTCAGAAAAAAAACAACAGAAAGGTTATATTGAAAAAGCCAGAAAAAAATATTTGCTGCCAATATTACGAAGACATAAAATCATCATCCATATACATTTATGATGTCATTTACTAATGTCTATAGCTTTATGCTCTCTTTATTCCCTGGCTATAGAAAACATTTCAACCCAGTTCTTGTTTTTCTTCATCTTCCATTGATTATCCATTTTGATGATAAATCAATTCATAGAATATTGCAGAATCATATAAGATTCATATGCCCATGAAAAATTTATTTGACCTTTGGTTTTGTAGAATTATGATTGATCATGTTACTCCACAGTGGTAAAGCTGACAGGAGCTGAGTGCCATCATAAGGGATTACGGAACCATAACATGATTAAGTGGACGTCACTGTACCTATATTATTTGTTACAATGATTAACCTGCTTATCTGTCTCACTATGACATTTCCCCCCAAGAGTTTCCCTTTATCTTGTTTACAATGCCCGCTGGTGCACTACTATAAGCTAGAAATCATTAACTGAAAATGTGGGGGAAGATTTAATTTTTTTTTACACGCAAATGCTATTATTAGCAGCTTAGAGATCACTAATGGTAAAAGTCACAAACTAACAATTGTAATAATTTTTTTTTTTACCAAATTGTTCTTTTATATAGTGAAAAAAAAATTGTCAAAAGGAATAACTAATCACTTATTATATAATCAGACACTATTGTTTATGATGCAGATATATCATTTATTAACTTCCCAGTGATCAGTGGACAACTCTATAAGTATATATAAGTCACGGGTAATATTCAATTGTTACTTTTCTAAATGGTGTGCATTGAAAAATTCTGTTAAAGTCATTCAGAGAAACATGGTGAGAAAAATTATAGAATAACAATTTTTGTAGTTTGAATATCCCTTAACTTTAGACTTTTATCACAAATAAGTAATCTCCATCAGGTAATTTATAGTTTAAGTTTTAACTAGAATCTATACCAGGAAAGTTTAAAAATAAAAACAACTTCACAAACTCTTGGTTAAAAATGTTATAGATATTTTCCAGACCTTGACCTCATTTTCATGGTTAATTGGTCATCATTAAGTTTTTGGTGATAAAATTGGTTTTTCAGATACCAATCATGTAAGCTATATAGTTCAGGTTCATTGAATGATTGTAAGGTGTACATATATCTCTTTGGAGAGTTCATCTGACCGTAACCTCATTTTCATAGTTCAATGGTCTTTTTATTCAGCACAATGCTGGAAAAAGACTGAACACAATGGTTATGTCATAAAATTATTACCACAAGTTCAGTTTCTGAATAAAGGAAAAATCTTTTAGCTTACAATTTGAAGGTGGGATACATTATGTAATCTTTATTTTTTGCTTTAAATGATTATATTTCTACTTTTGAAAAATATTTTCTTTTTCTTATAGAAAAAAAGATAGGCTTTCTAAACCTAAAATAACAGACTTTTACATTGAGCCATTTGTTTTGTCAAGAAATGCCAGTTATGCATGTAGTTTATAAGATGAGAATTGTAGAAATTCCTTTGATTATTTACTACCTTTTCATCAAAACAGGGTGTGTAAAAAGTAAAATCAAGCAAAATTCAAAAAGGAAAGTCCCTAGTCAAATGGCAAAATCAAAAGCTCAAACACATCAAACGAATGGATAACAACTGTCATATTCCTGATTGTGACATTATTGTTTTTGTTGTATTATCTCTGGGTAATAAAGGATTTAATGATTCACAAAAAACACTATAACAAAGAGCTATCCTGATTTTAAGTCTATGTGATGATGTCTACATCACTGGTACTATTGATGTGATTATATATACTAATCAATAGTAACATAGATTTAATTATTTGTGGTCTATGTATTGTGGTATCTAATTAGTTTTGGTAGAAATGTGACAATGTATTCTCATGACCAGCCTCTGTCTGTCTCTGTTTTATGACAGAAAGTGGTACTAAGATGTAAACAAGGTATACAACATGTATAGTGTGTAAACAGTAAAGTGTTGCAGCTAATTTCTCTGAAGTCAGGTCATCTGAACAATTTTTTGTGGTCATTTGCTTGTTCTTCATGCATAAATGATAATAACCCTGGTTTGCAGTAAAAGGTTTTGGTGCAATACATGTTCTTTTAAAGAAAAACCAGTCTGGTAATCAGTTGAAGTACAGTGAGAGATATTTGTTTAATTATTATAGAGATATATATGGCAATATAATAGAGAATGGAAAAACTGACATGACAACAGTATTATAACTTATAATATCCCTTGTGAATAAAGTATTATAACTTATAATATCCCTTGTGAATAAAGTATTATAACTTATAATATCCCTTGTGAATAAAGTATTATAACTTATAATATCCCTTGTGAATAAAGTATTATAACTTATAATATCCCTTGTGAATAAGTCTATTTAAAGGTTTGAATATGACATGACAACAGTATTATAACTTATAATATCCCTTGTGAATAAGTCTGTTTAAAGGTTTGAATAGCTTTTAAGGTGAATGACGACATTTTTGTGTTTTGTATAGAATATTACCATGAAAGATGGGATGTGAAAAACCTGAACCTATAAAATGTCAGCACTTTGATTTATATTTATGAATGATTCCGTGTGCCTATGATAAAATTTAGTAAAAGTTTTGACAAGTTGGTGATATTGATAACCCTGGTGTAATAATTTGTCTGTAATACAGAGATTTCTTTCGTTAAAATCAAAGACGTTGTTAAAGACACGACAGAATTTATTAAGTTGAGATATATATAAACACCATACGATGGTGCCAAGGGAACGTCACCATCTAAAAACGGATAATTAACTATAGGAAATGAAAAATCATCTCTTTTATCTTAATAGTCTATTTGCCAATCCCATAATTGACACTGTAATTAGGGATCCATTTTGTGAGTTGTTTCCCTTAGGAGGGACATAAATTTTCATTAACAATGAAGAGCTAACTGATAGAGCAAATTATCTGTGCTCAAATTGTGTAATAATTTGAAGATAAATAAAAACAATTGACCATACATTGATATTAAGTTCCTGTAGAATTATTACTGTAAATGATATAATTTTCATGGTCTAAAGACTAGTTATGAACTATTAATGATAGAAATCTCTGGAAATGGAAGCAACAATTGATATGTTAGCTTTATTATATTTTATTTTTTACAATTTCAGTGTTAATAAAGAAATCAGAATGTTATAGTTCAGAAGACATTTACATTATTTATTTTAATGGTTCATATACAAATAAAATGTTTTTTTTCATTTATCAATTGTCATGATTGTGTGAACTGTTTTGTTAATGATCATTCAAAGGATTAAGCCTGTGTGGGTTTACTAACTAAATAACTGTTTCTTTTGCATTAAATATTTTAGCAGAAACTGTTCAAAATGTTCTTTGTATTGATTAAAGGGTATCCACAAGAGAGTGTGAACATCAAGTAATTCATTGAATTCCATCTCTCTGGACATTTGTGAAGGAAAGAGTTGACAGATTGAATTTATTTTTTAGAAATGAAGTACAAATTGAATTTACATTTCCACACATTTTTGCTTCTACATTCTTATCATTGTCTAAGGCAGCTTTACCAATGATGCCAAACATCAGTGGTGTATTCTGATCATGTCGATGGTGTCAATTTAAGATTTTATTGAAATTTTTCTATGAAGCTTAATATATATATTATTTATATTCCAACTCGTCCTGTACATGTTCATACCTTATGTTGTATGTTAATCTCTTTGATAACCTTTTGGTAACTGTAAATTCGGAAATTATTGCAATGTTTTTATTATTGCTAAAAATGCATCAGGATTTTAATCGCAACAACTCGCATTTTGGATTTTTTTGTATGAGTGAAGCAGGATATTTCTCATAATCGCAATAATAAATGCATGCAACAATTTCTGAATTTACAGTATTTGTGTCATATGATTGCTGTCACATTAACATATACCCCACACCCCTTTTTAAACATATTTATTTGTTTTTCAGGTTCTCCATATGCACATGTCTACAATAGATAGGTTGCCCTTGACAACAGGAGGATCACCACTACAGATAAGATGTAAAGATTTTCGTTGTGTGACGTTCGTAATACCTCGTGATAGAGATTGTCAGGACATAACAGAGTCATTACAGCAACTATCACACCCAAGTAAGGATTATTGAGAAGTACTTCATTTATGTCCAGAAAAAATCTGAAATAGGAGGATATAAGAGTTAACAGGATAAAGTCATCAACCCAAAACCAAAGTTAAAATATACTCTGGATTCATTTATATTTGTGGGTGCTCATATTCTCAGATTGAAGAAAACAATGTATTTTTCATTGATATTTGATTTTGTGGTGTTGCCACTGTCTACATACTAGCCTATATGAATTCAACACTTCGTTGAACTTTTAAATTTATTGTTGACTATACCAACAAAATCCATGAAAATGTGTATTCCACGAACAATAATGAATCCACAGTGATGTAGATCCCAAAAGTCCTACAACACTGCTGAAAACATCAATGAGTAACCTTTTATAAACGATTGAAGAAGAATTTAAAGTACTATGAAAACCAAAACAGAAGTTCAATATTATTGGTGGTATTGATGCAGATAGATACTAGTAATCATCATTTCTGAACTTCCTGCGATCTTAGTTGGAATTTACATTTTCTGAACATTTATCAGCAGAGCCTAAGAGGTGTTACTTAGATTATTTAAATCTGCAAAATTTCAATGCATATTTAATTACTGTTCCTGGTGGAAAACCATTAAATCTCCTCCATAAAATTCATGTTATTAGAGTGTATAACTATTAAATTTGCATTAGAACAAAATTTCAATCTTTTAAAACAACTGCTGTTGTCTTAGATAAACAATCATAATCATGTAAAATTGAAGTTGAAAACATGAATTTCAAAAAAGTCTGATACTATTTTTAGCCAAAAAAGATCCAGTAATCATCTTGAAATTTCCCATTGCTGCAGTTAGCTCAAAAAGTGCAATATTGCCTAAAGGGGTCTCACTGGGGGGGGGGGGGGGGGGGTTGTCTAATCCTGGATCCCACTTATTGTTTTATCAGATTTCTGTATCCCACTTATCATTGTAATAATAACGCTTGTAATTTCACATGTCCCCCACAACTTTGATTCCTATTTTCATGCGCAATAATTTTACTTTCACAAGTCACGCTTACAAAATATCGGCCAATCATGTGTCACACTTAGCCCAAATGAGATCCACCCTAAAGAGTCATGCCAACAGTTACATAACATATGTGTATTACAGCTGAAGAATTGAAAGATGAAGAGACCACTGGTACTCCTGAATCCTTATAAGCTTTCAATTAACTCTGATTCATTATGAAATTCATATTACTGAAAAGCTTATAAAACGTTTTCCAATAATTTTGCACTTATATCATGTATATGTCTCAATCGGAGCAAGTAATTGTATCTATCGTGCATGGAGAATTGTACCTAGATGGCTTTGTAATTACCGGTAAACAGCAGTTTAAATATGATGATACTGATTGTACTGCACAAATAGATAAAAGTCCATAATTAAAATGAATTGATAGCTGGGAAATTACAGGAAGTTCATGGAAGGATTGATTCTTTGATTAATGATGGAAAGAGGGTTTGGAGGAGGTGTCTTACTGTGTACTTGTAACTAATACTGTGGATTTATTATTATTTGTTAGATACCAATTTTCGTGGATTTCATGGGCAAAGGTGAACCAAAAATTTAAATGTGCAACGAAAAATCTAAATTCTATAGGCTCGTATGCAGACTTTGGAAAATGGAGGAAATTAAATATCCACAAATAAACAACTTTCCTCAATCCACGAAAATTGGTATCAACGAAATTGAATGAACCCACTGTAGTTTAGTAAAGTATTGTTTTATAGTCAATGTGTGGTTCTCCAGTCTTTTTATCTTCTATGATCAAATTACCATTATTTCCTCAAATGTCTTAGTTATTCATTAGATTTGCTATTGTGAGGGCATGAAAAAAGGTAATGCTGATGATGCAAAATAGGAGCCGTTCTCCTGATCACATAAAAATACATCAAAGTACGCCTATACGTCTTCAGAGAAATCAATGGAGATATTGCTTCTTATGTGACACAGTATTTCTCCACTTCTACATTCAACAATAGAAAAAATAATTTACCAAGGGAATTTCATCATCAAATTGAAACACTAAAATAGCACATTCTTAATGAAAAAACGCAGTCTAATAAGACAAACAAAATATACAAAATTGATAGAAGAAAGTCATGGGATTTAATCTAATCAATAATGATAACTATAGTACAGTGGCCTTTTACCAGTATCACTATATTTCACTAAGTCCATTGTGAATTTAGGGATAAGTAATTTCTGGGTTATCATCTGTTTGGGAAAACTTGACCCGTCTGATATACAATCCGGTAACATATTAATAAGAAATAATGGAGAAAGCAATGAAATTATGTCTGGGCTCCATATAGATATCCATATGTTGATCAATATGATGTACTTGTTACTGTCTTAGTAGATGTTGCAGTCTTTGTCCTGGTAAATAGATTACTATCATTAGAATTCCTGTATATCCTGACTTACCAAAAATCCAAGTGAAGTATTGTTGAGTTACTATCAGTAATTGTTTAGTTGTGTTGAAGTCTAGAAATCCCTCTGATATGTCAGGACATTTATGGTGTGATCAGACAGGCTTTTTCAAGGTTTCAGATCAAATGTCTAACAGAAATTATCACAAAATATCAATAATTATTCATACAAGCTATGTCTTACACACTGTCTACCAATTTCAGTTTGTCTACTTCTGAAGTTCGTACCAGTACAAGATCAGTTCAGTCTGCACCAAAATCTTTTCCAACTACCAGCCGAAGACTAATATTCGGATATTTTTCTTATGTGCCTAAACAAAGTTTTGCAATTACCTACTATTCCGAATAAAATGTTACTAGTCTGGGGCATCAGACTAGTGGCTAACAGTGCAGACTATGAGTTATGACTAGGGCATGGGACTAGTGGCTAACAGTGCAGACTATGAGTTATGTCTGGGGCATGGGACTAGTGGCTAACAATGCAGACTGTCAGTTATGTCTGGGGCATGGGACTAGTGGCTAACAATGCAGACTGTCAGTTATGTCTGGGGCATCAGACTAGTGGCTAACAATGCAGACAGTCAGTTATGTCTGGGGCATCAGACTAGTGGCTAACAGTGCAGACTGTCAGTTATGTCTGGGGCATGGGACTAGTGGCTAACAGTGCAGACTATGAGTTATGTCTGGGGCATGGGACTAGTGGCTAACAATGCAGACTGTCAGTTATGTCTGGGGCATGGGACTAGTGGCTAACAATGCAGACTGTCAGTTATGTCTGGGGCATCAGACTAGTGGCTAACAATGCAGACAGTCAGTTATGTCTGGGGCATCAGACTAGTGGCTAACAATGCAGACTGTCAGTTATGTCTGGGGCATGGGACTAGTGGCTAACAATGCAGACTGTCAGTTATGTCTGGGGCATGGGACTAGTGGCTAACAATGCAGACTGTCAGTTAAGTCTGGGGCATGGGACTAGTGGCTAACAATGCAGACAGTCAGTTATGTCTGGGGCATGGGACTAGTGGCTAACAGTGCAGACTGTCAGTTATGTCTGGGGCATGGGACTAGTGGCTAACAGTGCAGACTGTCAGTTATGTCTGGGGCATGGGACTAGTGGCTAACAGTGCAGACTGTCAGTTAAGTCTGGGGCATGGGACTAGTGGCTAACAGTGCAGACTGTCAGTTATGTCTGGGGCATGGGACTAGTGGCTAACAGTGCAGACTGTCAGTTATGTCTGGGGCATGGGACTAGTGGCTAACAGTGCAGACTGTCAGTTATGTCTGGGGCATGGGACTAGTGGCTAACAGTGCAGACTGTCAGTTATGTCTGGGGCATGGGACTAGTGGCTAACAGTGCAGACTGTCAGTTATGTCTGGGGCATGGGACTAGTGGCTAACAATGCAGACTGTCAGTTAAGTCTGGGGCATGGGACTAGTGGCTAACAATGCAGACAGTCAGTTATGTCTGGGGCATGGGACTAGTGGCTAACAGTGCAGACTGTCAGTTATGTCTGGGGCATGGGACTAGTGGCTAACAGTGCAGACTGTCAGTTATGTCTGGGGCATGGGACTAGTGGCTAACAGTGCAGACTGTCAGTTAAGTCTGGGGCATGGGACTAGTGGCTAACAGTGCAGACAGTCAGTTATGTCTGGGGCATGGGACTAGTGGCTAACAGTGCAGACTGTCAGTTATGTCTGGGGCATGGGACTAGTGGCTAACAGTGCAGACTGTCAGTTATGTCTGGGGCATGGGACTAGTGGCTAACAGTGCAGACTGTCAGTTATGTCTGGGGCATCAGACTAGTGGCTAACAGTGCAGACTGTCAGTTATGTCTGGGGCATGGGACTAGTGGCTAACAGTGCAGACTGTCAGTTATGTCTGGGGCATGGGACTAGTGGCTAACAGTGCAGACAGTCAGTTATGTCTGGGGCATGGGACTAGTGGCTAACAGTGCAGACTGTCAGTTATGTCTGGGGCATGGGACTAGTGGCTAACAGTGCAGACTGTCAGTTATGTCTGGGGCATGGGACTATCTGGGGCATGGGACTAGTGGCTAACAATGCAGACAGTCAGTTATGTCTGGGGCATGGGACTAGTGGCTAACAGTGCAGACAGTCAGTTATGTCTGGGGCATGGGACTAGTGGCTAACAGTGCAGACTGTCAGTTATGTCTGGGGCATGGGACTAGTGGCTAACAGTGCAGACTGTCAGTTATGTCTGGGGCATCAGACTAGTGGCTAACAGTGCAGACTGTCAGTTATGTCTGGGGCATGGGACTAGTGGCTAACAGTGCAGACTGTCAGTTATGTCTGGGGCATGGGACTAGTGGCTAACAGTGCAGACAGTCAGTTATGTCTGGGGCATGGGACTAGTGGCTAACAGTGCAGACTGTCAGTTATGTCTGGGGCATGGGACTAGTGGCTAACAGTGCAGACTGTCAGTTATGTCTGGGGCATGGGACTATCTGGGGCATGGGACTAGTGGCTAACAATGCAGACAGTCAGTTATGTCTGGGGCATGGGACTAGTGGCTAACAGTGCAGACAGTCAGTTATGTCTGGGGCATGGGACTAGTGGCTAACAGTGCAGACTGTCAGTTATGTCTGGGGCATGGGACTAGTGGCTAACAGTGCAGACTGTCAGTTATGTCTGGGGCATGGGACTAGTGGCTAACAGTGCAGACAGTCAGTTATGTCTGGGGCATGGGACTAGTGGCTAACAGTGCAGACTGTCAGTTATGTCTGGGGCATGGGACTAGTGGCTAACAGTGCAGACTGTCAGTTATGTCTGGGGCATGGGACTATCTGGGGCATGGGACTAGTGGCTAACAATGCAGACAGTCAGTTATGTCTGGGGCATGGGACTAGTGGCTAACAGTGCAGACAGTCAGTTATGTCTGGGGCATGGGACTAGTGGCTAACAGTGCAGACAGTCAGTTATGTCTGGGGCATGGGACTAGTGGCTAACAGTGCAGACTGTCAGTTATGTCTGGGGCATGGGGCTAATGGCTAACAGTGCAGACTGTCAGTTATGTCTGGGGCATGGGACTAGTGGCTAACAGTGCAGACTGTCAGTTATGTCTGGGGCATGGGACTAGTGGCTAACAGTGCAGACTGTCAGTTATGTCTGGGGCATGGGACTAGTGGCTAACAGTGCAGACTGTCAGTTATGTCTGGGGCATGGGACTAGTGGCTAACAATGCAGACAGTCAGTTATGTCTGGGGCATGGGACTAGTGGCTAACAGTGCAGACTGTCAGTTATGTCTGGGGCATCAGACTAGTGGCTAACAATGCAGACTGTTAGTTATGTTTCTTCTCTTAGGTAGAAGCTTGATATCCATCAAAGAAGAGTATTTTTCTTTTATAGAGTTATGTTTTTGTAACTGAAATACATTCTATTATGGTATGTTGTTGTCATTGTCCATCTGTAGTTAATGGTTTTTTTATGCCCTGCCGTAGCGGAGGTGGCTTTAAGTTTTACCCTTGTCTGTAATTGGTTTCTGTTCTATAACTTTAGTTTGCCTCAACCAAATGTTATGAAACTTATACTCAATGCTTATTACCACAAAAACAGATCAAGTTTGAATTTTAGTGGCATCACTTTTACCGTTCTAGAGTTATACCCCTTTACAAATGGAAAAATTGCTGAATTTTTCGTTTCCGTTCTCTAACTTAAGTTTGCCTCAACCAAATGTTATGAAACTTATACACAATGCTTATAACAACAAAACTCAAATTAAAAACGAATTTAGGTAACATCACTTTTACCTTTCTTGAGTTATGTCCCTTTATAAAATTTTATGTAAGCGGGGGCATCATCTGTGTCCCATGGACACATTCCCCATTTATTTCGCAATTACTTAGTTGCTCTTGATATACCCCTGTTCAATATTCTTATTTAATTGTGTTGCTGTTGTATGATGCTGGACTCAGCATAACCATTTGTTTGTTTTTTTTCAATCGAGTGCTGTATAGATATCTCTTCTTGTTTATCTTTATTTAAAAAGAGTATGTTATTTATTTGTTTCTTCAACAGGTAATATTGAGTCCCTTTATGCATTTGACTTTAGTTTGAATGATGACATTCCAAAGTCTTTTGGGTGGCACCTGTATGATACAGATACAGAATATCTACGTATGGGTGTACCTAGTACACACTGGGCACTCACCAGTATGAATAAAAGCTATGAAGTAAGTATGTTATGAACTCGACATCCTAAGAAAAAGGTCATGGTAAGCTGCTCCAAATATTAATCAGTTGATCAGACAAACAAGGTTGCAGTCAAGTGCTACTGAAACATCAAAGTATCTGAAATGTTCTATTGGAATTTTAAAATATCGAAATACATTTACCATAAGATTAATACAAAGAAGATCTTGCTCAGTTTACTTCCAGTCTACTTCTGAAATAGATTATATTACCGATTATATACTTTAAGATATGAATATGAATATGAGATTCTGTCAAAGGTTTACCAAAGTAGGCCACTGTTATGTCAAAATGAACAATTTGGTTTCTATACAAACATGCTTTACAAAACATTGATATGTAAGCACATTTCGCTAATTTCTACCTGTTAAAATAAAAAGATTGACTGGTAAGTAAACAAAAATTAAGGAGACTCCAATTGATAGGGTTAGCAGTGACACATATTTTTAGAGCTTTTACAAAATTATTAAACCCAACTAATTTGTATTATAAACTGTAACAATACAACAAAATATTTTATTAGAAATATTTTTTTTTTATGAAGCACATAGCAAAAAATTGAAGGTGACAAATAATTATTGCATAACGGTATAGTTTGAAGCGAATAAGATTTCAACTAAGTGTATATCTGATTAATTGAAAGTATTTATGTACATTAATTGTTACTCTTGATTTACACAGATCTGTGATACTTATCCAAGAAATTTATACGTCCCAGCTAGCGCTACAACACCTATTCTTGTTGGAAGTTCAAAGTTCAGAAGTAGAGGAAGATTACCAGTGCTATCATATCTTAACAGAGCTAATCAGGTAATATAGAATTAAAAAAAATCTTTGACTCAATATGACAGTGTGCTTCCCTCAGTCAATGTATACTGGACAGATTTTAACCAAAACATTCCACAAATATAGCGTTTCATGATCTGAAGAACTTTTGGAAATGTCTTTAGAAGAATAAGGGCTTAAAATATTTTTGAGATGATTTTTCAATCTCTGAATACAAACATTTCTGGGAAAAGCCCCAAGGTAATATACAGACAGGAAACAAACACTGATCTGATAAGGTATCCAGACTATAAAGCTGCTAATTGTTTGAATTATTGGTATAAAATTATTGAATATCAACCTTATGTAATATGTTCTATTTACATGTTGACATAACTGTAAATTCAGAAATTATTGCGTGCACTTATTATTGGAATTTTTTAAAGAATTGACAAAAATGCGATATTAATTATATGTATCAGATATCAGAATGCCATACTCACCCAGTTGCATTATTTGCAATAATAAAAACATAGCAATAATTTCAGTATACCGGGTACCACAATCACCCTATTGGCTACTGTTTTCTGAATAGAGCAGTGTTTACTGGAGACATTGTGTAACTTTCATGCTGCGACAGTTTCCCCCAAATTTGTTGTCATGAACATTTCTATGGCTCTTAAAAGAATATAGAAAAGAATATAATTACTCAATACGCAAGCATTCTATTATAACTTATGATCAGTTTAAGTGGTAATTTTTGTGGAAAAAAATACTTAAGGAGAAAATGGTTTATTATTCACAGTCTATTAGAATGTACACATGTAGCACAATACATATATATTGGACAATGATAATGCTGCATTTTTAAATGTTTATTTTCTTATCTTTACATTTTTAGGCTGCCATATGCAGATGTAGTCAGCCATTAGCAGGGTTCAGTGCAAGATGTGTGGAAGATGAACAAATGTTACATGCAATTCTCAAAGCTAATCCAAAGTCAAAATACATGTATGTTGTGGACACCCGGCCTAAGGTTTGTTTGCATATATTATATCCACAATATTTTGAAAAATAAACTTGCTGGTTGATTTACAAGAAAATCAACATTTCTCATTTTCATTTTAGATTGCTTACATAGTCATCTATTATGGGTGGGGAATCCACATTTTGGATTGCTTACAAAGTCATCTATTAGGGATGGGAAATCCACATTTTGGATTGCTTACATAATCATCTATTAGGGATGGGAAGTCCATATTTTGGATTGCTTACATAGTCATCTATTAGTGGCGGGAAATCCACATTTTGGATTGCTTACATAGTCATCTATTAGGGGTGGGAAATCCATGTCTATTGATAATATTTAAAATTTTTTACCTTTTTAACCCGATTTTTCGAAGGAAAAATTGGTTATTGATTTGGGGATGTACGGTGGGCGGACGGGCGGGCGGCTGCCAAACAGTGTCCGTTCATTAACATGAAAACACTTTGACGAAATGTTTTCAAATTTAGATATGTTGTTTCCTGTGACTAAATGAAGGTCAAGTTCAATTTTCACGATTTTAGCTTTTCTCGTTGTTGAGTTATAGCCCTTTCCCAAGGATTAAATTTTTGATGAAATACTTATTAATTACTCCATTTCTGTTCAAAGGGAAATAACTCATTTTTAAAAAGATTTTTAAAAGACATTGTATTAATGATAAATGACATTTTGGATTTTTTTTTCTTTTCTTTGTTAAATTGTTTGAAGAATTTTGTGGTAGGTTTGTTTGTTATTCTGTATAAACTAATTTTCTGAATGCTATATATAATTTTTTTTTTTATGAAGTGAACTCCTTTAATTAGATAATAATCTATTTTGTTAAAGGATATATTTCATTACATTACATTGTGTAGATAAAGTTGTTGACATTGACAGATAAGTTGCAGATCTATATTAGTTTGTGACAAATGAAAGAAAAAATATTTGGAACTGGGGAAAAAATATTTGGAACTATCAATTATATTTGATTATAATTTGAAAATAGATATACATTGTGTAACATAATATCTAATTTTAGAGAACTATTGTTGTGATGTGGTATTTTATTTCTGTTGTGTGTGTTAATGTTTAATATTTACATGATCCTGCTTTGGGGTCAGATTTGCAAATATCATTTCCATTATTAATTAGATAATGATCTATTTTAAATATTCGATCACAATTCAAATTCAGAGCTGTTTTAAGCTTAAATGTTGTGTCCATACTTGCTCATCTGTTCAGGGTTCAATCTCCGCAGGAAAATCCGGTTTGCTGTCACTCGACAGCCTCTTGTCTTCACTTCAATTGATGTGTTAGCTCCCTAACAAACACAAAAGGGGATGTCACTGAGGCAGTAATCTAACAACACAATAAAACCAAAAAGACATCTAAGAGACTGTATATTACCACACAATTTCATTTAAATTCTGGTTTGCCTTAATTACCAATTTTTAAATTTCAGATAAATGCTATGGCTAACAAGGCAGCAGGGAAAGGCTTTGAGAATGAGAACTACTATTCTGATATCAAGTTTTATTTCTGTGGTATAGAAAATATCCATGTCATGAGAAACAGTCTACAAAAACTTATAGATTGTAAGTATGTCACAATTATAAAATCAGTGTGGATAGAGACAAAAACAGTCATGGATTGGAACTGAGACATATAATAGAAGAAAAATTACAGACTGAAAGGTTATGAGGAAAATTATACCTATTAGAGTACTTGTTAATTTGTACTCGTCCTGAATATGCATGAAATATTAGTGACTGGACTTTACGCAAAGAACAATCAAACAATCTATTTAATATAATATAAGTAGTTTATTACAAAGTTATCAGCTTGCTATAAATATCATTCCTTACAACCAATAAGTATCAGGTGGGAGTGTTTACAATAATTTCAATTTCCCTTTTTTGAAATGAGAGTTTGGTTGTGGCATGATTGATTGATTAATAGAACTTATATTGCTGGTGAAAAGATACAAAGAAATTTTCTTATTCAAATGTCATTTTTAATCTTGAAAATGTCTTGCTATGCAAATAGACAGCAAATAAAAAATCCTTGAATTTAATCTTTTTTTGATGTAATGTGAGATATGATTGATGATGTAGATATTTATAATCTATTTTCCTGCTATTCAAGAGACAATTTGCCCTAAAATAGATTTTTTGTTGTTTAATGATTTAAGGAATTATGCAAATAATTTAATCAGAAACCAAAAGTTGAATTTTTTCTAGAAACACTATACAAACATCATTAATTATTGATATAGTCTTTGATGAATAACAAATTAATGTCCTCATTTGGATTACTATTGATATATTTTATAAATGTCCTCATTGGGATGAATCTTTACAGATGTCGTCAGTGTTTTCCCAACTTATTATCTTGAAAAAGAGTTATTCTTTGAATAAATGGTTGCTTTTCATAGCTACATGTTAAAATATAAACTGACAGAACTATGCTGTACAGATAAAATACAAATATATCAATATGAGTTATTACAATTTAAATGATACAAGTCAGTGAGTATCAAAATAAAGATATCTCTGGTTTCCTTGTGTTAAATGTCATTTTATCTTATATTACAGTATGTGAGATGAGAAATCCATCAATGAGTGCATTCCTGACAGGACTTGAGTCATGTGGGTGGTTAAAACATATCAAATCTGTATTAGATACAGCAGTCTTTATTGCAAAGGTTAGATTCATTATTGTCTAGTCTTAATAACTGGTAATGGCTTTAGTATAAAGTTGGGGGTGGGATATATAAAAGACTAAATAATTGCACTTTTGTTCAGGAAAGGAAATGGGATAATTGTTTATTAGATTATGCAACAAAGGACAAGAATAGAAAAGTAACTTCCAAGCAGTGGGTAGCTCATTGGTATTTTTTTTTACATTCAGAGAAATGTTTGTAATCAATGAAGTTATGATTGTTTGAAAATAAAAGAAAAACATGTTGTAAAACTCTTCATCATTATTGTTTCAGTATACCTATATATAGAAATAGACCATTCATAGGTTGGAATTACTATTAGGAAAATTAGTGAAAAAATGCAATAAGCCTTGATTTTTGGGTTATTACTATTTGAATAGTCCTTTCTAGTTCTTGCATGTACATGTAGAAGTTTTATTTTTCAGTTCAGTTTAGCTGCCTGTTTTATTGAACTCTTTGTAGTAAGGAGCTTTTAATCATTTTGACTTGGAATTATTATTGGTTTTTGGATTAAGTCCATTTGTATTTTCTTTATGACATAATGTTAAAAAGATTAAAACATTAAGTGCATCAGAACTACCTGGAGTGCAGATGCTTTCAGTTTCTTAATTCTGACATTATAGTGCAGATCCTGATATAATGTATTTGTCAGATACATATAGAAATCTCTTTCTGAGACAGATTACCAGTGTAAAAGTATCAATGCTAAGATATTAAAGTAAAATTCTGGAAGTGATGAATAAGCACAAAACAGGACTTATTCTGTTTTTGTCTCGTTTCAATGAAGATATGGAGGAGAGACTAAGGCATGCTGTTTCCAGCGGCTTCAACATTTATTAAAGCTTGTGGGGAGCAACTAATGGTGTGTTTCGCTTCCATCTAGAGTACTCGGCTCAACTCCTTTAGCTATTGTTCATTGACTTTGAAGCTTTTGCAAAATTTACATGTTAAAGTTTACGATTAGGTAAGTTTAAGGGGAAACACTATGTTAAAGTCAATGATATTTGGTATGCAGTTGTATTAGTATTGGAACATCTCATTTCCCTAGTGATTATATAGCCCTTCCTTTAGTAATTATGATTCATTGACTTATTTTGAAAAATTTCCATAGTTTACATGTTACAAGTTTAAGTGTTGCCATTTAAATTTCAAAAATTTGGATTTTATTATCAATATTACATACATTCGAGACATATCTCTATCTCAACAGTTTATTAAAGTGTATGGTGTCTTTAAAGAATGAAATAGAAGGATTATATTGTACAACTGCTTTATTGGTGTGAATTTTATTTTTAAATTTCAGGCAGTAAGAGATGGAACAAGTGTATTGGTTCATTGTTCTGATGGATGGGACAGAACTGCACAAACCTGTTCTTTATCAGGTCTAATTCTGGATCCATACTACAGAACTGTTCAAGGTTTTCAGGTATACAAAAGAACTAATAATTCCTGACAGAGCAGCATAAACTTGTTCACTGTAAAGTCTTATTCTGGAAGTGATGAATAAGCACAAAACAAGATTTTCATCTGTTTTTGTCTCGTTTCAATGAAGATATGGTGGAGAGACTAAGGCATGATGTTTCCAGCACCTTCAACATTTTTTAAAGCTTGTGGGGAGTGACTAATGGTGTGAATCCATGATATAGAAACATTAAAGGTTTTCAGGTTATTCATCAAAGGTCAAATTCAGGCTATTCATCAAAAGTTAAACTCAGGCTATTCGTCAAAAGTCAATTTCAGGCTATCAGTATGATGTAGTAAGAGTTCTTTTACCTCAAACAACTGTTTTGAAAAAAATGAAAACAACACATGTTTTGAAAAAAATGGAAACAACACGAAATAAATTTCATGCATCCAAAGCGCTTTTCTGGATTTACCTTCATCAGGAACACTCAAAGCTGAATATTTGGAAGCCAAGATAAGAATGGAATATCTCTCAAATTTGAAAACATTTAAAAGCAGAAAATATATTATAGATATACATATACCTTATTCCTTATATTAAGTGCCCCATGTGCCTTTCAATCCAGAGTACTCCTTAATTAGAATGCATATATATCAAATAATGTATTTGGCATCTTTTGAAATCAAATGAGAAACACTGCCTTTAGGATGCAGCTAGAGGTTTCATTTTCTACTGCTTTTACCATGTTTACTGTGTGAAACAAAATCAAAATGGAAATCACATTCAAGAAATGTTTTTAAAGCATTTAGGATTATTCTGGTCTTCACTATTGAAATTAAGCATATCTTCCTTTTGAATGTTCTAAATGCCATAGTGTTTTCATTATGTTTACAGTATAGACAGATTAAAAACTGTGTCAAAAATTATTTTGAGTAGCAAATAAAACTATTTATTAAATGCTGTGATTTTCCAGTCAAATAAAAAGACATATTTCACACGAGAGAATTATTAAAAACCCATATTTCACATGAGAATTATTAAAAACCCATATTTCACATGAGAATTATTATAACCCATATTTCACATGAGAATTATTAATAACCCATATTTTACATGAGAATTATTAATAACCCATATTTTACATGAGAATTATTAAAAACCCATATTTCACATGAGAATTATTAATAACCCATATTTTACATGAGAATTATTAAAAACACATATTTCACATGAGAATTATTAATAACCCATATTTTACATGAGAATTATTAAAAACCCATATTTCACATGAGAATTATTAATAACCCATATTTTACATGAGAATTATTAAAAACACATATTTCACATGAGAATTATTAATAACCCTTATTTCACATTAGAATTATTAAAAACCCATATTTTACATGAGAATTATTAATAACCCATATTTTACATGAGAATTATTAAAAACACATATCCTGACAGAGCAGCATAAACTTGTTCATACTTATAGAAAGATTAAAATCTGTATCAACAGTTATTTTGAGTAGCAAATAAAACTTCTTATTATTATCCTATTTTTTTCTCACTCTGACATCATGCAACAAAAGAAATAACTAATCAATGTAAAAATATATTCAACAAGTGACCAAACAATTCATGAATTCAGGAATGTGTGTAGTTATTCTTTAATTGTTTTTTCTGTTATAGGCACTGATAGAGAAGGAATGGTTATCTTTTGGTCACAAATTTACCGATCGTTGTGGATTACTTGGTACCGTAGATTCAAAGGAAGTATCTCCAGTATTTACTCAGTTTATAGAAAGTGTGTGGCAGTTAATGCAGCAATTTCCATGTGCTTTCCAGTTCAACGACCGTTTCTTGATCACAATTCACGACCATGTTTATTCCTGTCAGTTTGGTACTTTTGTTGGGAACTGTGAAAAAGATAGGCTAGATTTACGGTAAGATAGAAAAAGATATGCTTTATTTACAGTAAATAAACTCATCATAGATACCAGGATTAAAATTTTGTACACCACACGTGTGTTTCGTCTACAAAAGACTTTTCAGTGACGCTTGAATCAAAAAAGTTAAAAAGGCCAAATACAGTACGAAGCTGATAAGCATTGAGGATCCACAATTCTGGAAGTATTTGCCAAATAAAGCTAAGGTTATCTATTCCTGGGGTTGAAAATCCTTAGTATTTCGAAAAAAAAAAATTTTGTACACTTTAAAACAATAGATAGAAAAAAGAAAGATAAGATTTACAATAAGATAGAAAAAGATAGGCTAAATTTATGGTTAAATGGAAAAGCATATGGTAGATTTAGGAAACAAATTAGAGCTTTCCTCTTTTAATATATGATTTGCATGTGATAAAGAAGTTTACTAAATGTTATACATGAAAAATTGTTGTATGCAGAGGCAAATTCCAAACATCAAACTTGCAGAAAAATACTCTTAATTATAATGTAAATTTCAGGTTGTCAGAGAGAACTTATTCATTGTGGGGATACATTACCAAGCACATGACAGAATATTTGAATCCTTTCTACAAAAAATCTTATGAGCATCAAGAACCTGTGATAATGCCAAATACTAGTCCACAATGTGTAAAGTAAGTGGAAAAAATCTCTGCTGTAACAAGTACACACCAGAATAGAAATCTCTGCTGTGACAAGTACACACCAGAATAGAAATCTCTGCTTCAACAAGTACACACCAGAATAGAAATCTCTGCTTTAACAAGTACACACCAGAATAGAAATCTCTGCTGTGACAAGTACACACCATAATAGAAATCTCTGTTTTAACAAGTACACATAAGAATAGAAATCTCTGCTTTAACAAGTACACACAAGAATAGAAATCTCTGCTATGACAAGTACACACAAGTACACACTAGAATAGAAATCTCTGCTTTAACAAGTACACACCAGAATAGAAATCTCTGCTTTAACAAGTACACACCAGAATAGAAATCTCTGCTTTAACAAGTACACATCAGAATAGAAATATCTGCTTTGACAAGTACACTCTATAATAGAAATCTCTGCTTTAACAAGTACACACCAGAATAGAAATCTCTGCTGTGACAAGTACACACCAGATTAGAAATCTCTGCTTTAACAAGTACATATCAGAATAGAAATCTCTGCTTTAACAAGTACACTCTAGAATAGAAATCTCTGCTGTAACAAGTACACATCAGAATAGAAATCTCTGCTGTGACAAGTACACACCAGAATAGAAACCTCTGCTTTAACAAGTACACACCAGAATAGAAATCTCTGCTTTAACAAGTACACACCAGAATAGAAATCTCTGCTGTGACAAGTACACACCAGAATAGAAATCTCTGCTTTAACAAGTACACACCAGAATAGAAATCTCTGCTTTAACAAGTACACATCAGAATAGAAATCTCTTCTTTAACAAGTACACTCTAGAATAGAAATCTCTGCTGTAACAAGTACACATCAGAATAGAAATCTCTGCTGTGACAAGTACACACCAGAATAGAAACCTCTGCTTTAACAAGTACACACCAGAATAGAAATCTCTGCTTTAACAAGTACACACCAGAATAGAAATCTCTGCTGTGACAAGTACACACCAGATTAGAAATCTCTGCTTTAACAAGTACACATCAGAATAGAAATCTCTGCTTTAACAAGTACACTCTAGAATAGAAATCTCTGCTGTAACAAGTACACATCAGAATAGAAATCTCTGCTGTGACAAGTACACACCAGAATAGAAACCTCTGCTTTAACAAGTACACACCAGAATAGAAATCTCTGCTTTAACAAGTACACACCAGAATAGAAATATCTGCTTTAACAAGTACACATCAGAATAGCATGAATAGAAAACTCTGCTTTAACAAGTACACATCAGAATAGGTGATGAATATTTGCTGCCTACAGAAAAAGAAATATTTGCAATTCAAGTCTGCTATGTTTTTTTTTTCCTGAATATATCTTAGAAATGAAATGTCACTGCTAATTTATGTTAACATTTCTTAAGATATGTTTTTATACGACCGCAAAAAAATTTTGGGGTCGTATATTGCTATCATGTCGTCGTTGTTGTCAAATGACATTTGGTTTCCGGACAATCAATTTAGTTTAAGTGTATGGATCTCTATGAAATTCAATCAAAAGGTTCAATACCACAAAAGGAAGGTTGGGATTGTTTTTGGGGGTGATGATCCAAACCGTTTAGGAATTAGGGGCCAAAAAGGATCCCAAAACAAGCATTTTATTCTAGTTACTTAAGAATCTTTAGAAAATAGTAAGGGTAATTCCTAAAGGTGAAAAGTTCATTGCAGAAAATGACTTGATTGTGAATGAAAATAAATGGTGCAAAAGAGAAGAAGGATCCTATTGAGTGTGTGAATGATATATTTGCAGTTTGAAAGCTGATTCTGTTGCTAAAAACTCATAGAAATATAAAGTTATAAATCAATTGATTATGTATGTTTACACAGAAAAAAGAATGCTGTAAAAGAGACAAATGTATACATTTTTGTAGGTTTTGGGCAGGAATGTATAATAGATATGAGAATGGTATCCATCCAAGGGAGAATATTGTAGATATATTAAGTTCTGCAAGTGACCATTGTGCTTCCTTAGAAGATCATGTTCAGCTCTTAGAAAAGGTAATTTATTCTGTTCAGAAGTATTTAAAAGATTGATGTAGATATTACCTCCAAATCACACTATTTCTCTGTTATGAAATATCTGTTTGATACAGGGAAGTATGAGCAATAGATTTTACTGAAAAGATATCTCATTTTTATTGTACTGATATATCTGTGGAAAAAATGTTGCATTTTACTGTTTATAGCATACTAACAATCATTTTCAAAAGCATTGTGATTGATTGAATCATAGAGTTTGTAATTAAAGCAGTGAAGTCTGTAATTGTTTTGCAAGAAAAGCAATGCACTTTACTGTCTCACATACACTGACATACAATACAGATATGATCTACTTCACAGTCATCAATAGAACATTCAAATACCTTTTACATGTAAACATTTCATACACCTTCCAAATTTAGTTCTTCAGATGTTATATCTCAAAGAGCAAGTTGGGGGTGAAATAACACCAAAAAAAAATATTGGGTCATGAAATAAAGTCCTTGTTGTAGGCAAAGGGGGCACTAAGTATTACTCTTGACCCTCTGTCCTTCTGTCTTTTTGTCTGTTTTTCCGTCTTTTCATCCTGTCCATCCCATTTTCATCTCCACACTCTAACTTAATTTTGTCTCATGCAAATTTTATGAAACTCATACACAATGCTAAGGACCACAACACACAGACAGAGTTCAAATTTGGGCAGTGAGTCATTTATAGTTATGACCCTTTATAACTTGGAAAACTGCAAATTTTTTCGTTTCCACACTCTTAACTTAAGTTTGCCTCGTGCAAATTGTGTGAAACTCACACACAATGCTAAGAACCACAACACACAGAGCAGGGACATTTGTGTCCTCAGACACATTCTTCTTTTATTTGGTATAGTAGTGATTTGGTCCAGATGAAAAAGGTAAAATATTAATATGTCTGAAGCTGTCAAACTGAATTCAAGACTACCTCAACATCAAATCGTCCATATTTTGAGTTAGAGCTGATTTTTTCTTTACTTTTAATATTATTTGTCCCAAAAGTAGTACACAAGACTGAAAAAATATTATTTTGAAAGCAAGCGCAGGTGCATTTATTGTTCGAAAGAAATCAATATTTCTGTTTTTTTTTTTACCTTACTAAAATATGTTTTGATCATTATTAATGCTGGCTAATCCAAAGAAGAAGGAAAATGAGGAAGAAAAACTACACACTTTTTGTTAAATGTAGAGTTTTCAAACATGCTTAAAAAAACAACATTCAATAAAATAGCATATTTGTATTGTGAATTCTGTTAAAATCAGATGAAATGTTTTTGATTCCAGAGAATAACACAAGTCTGTAAGTTATTGGGTAAACCAGACCAAGTGATTGAAAAGAAATTAAATGGCTTCCTGTCTACAGAATCATTGGACCAAGTTAGTGATGACAACAATGATTTACCCTTAAAAATAAACAAAGAACTTATTATCAACGGTGACACAGAAAAACAACAAAGTGATGGGGAATCGACGGAAAAAGATATTATAAATAGCAACAAGAAAAGTGACTCTGAGTCAGGATTTGAAGAAATGTCCAAATCAGTTCCTGAGGATTTGAATATTAACATGACATTACCAGGTATAGAAGATTGTCGGACTATGGACTCTAGCATGACACGCTCGGCAAGCGCTGAGCAGCTTAATTTGGACTATTTAGTTTTAGAACTGACAAGTGTTGCTCTGGATTGGAAGTCCTTCAGAAATGTACATAACTGCTCATGTGCTTCTCCCTTTGACCGCTTTACCAAAAAGGCAAGCTATATTATTATATATTGACACCACTAACTACTTTTTAGGCCCTTGGATGTTTTTCTATCTTGGTTAACTTTCCTATTGTTGTTGAGCAAGGAACAAGGTATTCCTAACTGATTCTTGGTACATGAATACATTTCTTTACTTTTTAGTTTTTTTTTTATTGTATAAATATTTGAAAAGGAGTTAGAATTTTCATGTAGGTGTGTTAATAATAAAAAATGCTCACCAACATAATGATAGATAACCAAAAATGAAAGAAACACAACAAAAGTCCTATATGGTGCTGCTATCTCATATGATTTTTTTTTAAAGTAAGAACATTAAATTGGTTTCAATATTTTTGAGTTATATCAAACTGCTAAGTTTTTTTGAAAATTAAGCAAAGGCTCCAAAAAAGATAGATAAATCAAACTTTTGATATGTCCACTGTCATAACTTCATTGCTTATTTCAAGATATTTTGAATTAGAAAAATAAGCTTTCCACTTGCTTATGCAATGGTCATCTGGGTTCTATCTTAACATACATTGTATGGTCATCTTACATTACAAAACTTTGGTTGATTTTAGATTTCCTCTGAAAACGTTGGAAACAGCTAGATTTTTACCTACATCATGTTATTATATTGATCACATGGTTGGTTTTTGGTACAGAATCCTTGAATGTAGTTTATGTGATGATGTTGTTTTAGACAAGTAGCATCTTCAATTATGATTCTTTTTTCACATCTTTTTTTATTTTGAGAGGGAGTTGTCAATTTTTCACTTAGCATTCAGCAGTGTTTTTTTATTGAGCAATATTTTTTGGTTTTTCAAAGTATATGAGATATCAGTTTATATGAATATAAGCACAAAGCATAAATAACTTTAAATCTTAAAATATGTATACTTTCTGTATTCTTGGTTCTGTGTCATGAATCCTAATTCAGTATCTAACATCTAGGAATGTAAGTTATTTTGGGCTTTTCAAAACATTAAGAATAAAAGGAAATGTCAAAATACTAAAAGTGATAATATTATATTGACTAGTTCCTTAAGCTTTCTATTAAATTTGATATGACTTCCAAATTCCAAATTCTTGTCAAAATAACTGATTGAAAATTATTTATATAAGCTATATCTATTTCATATTTCTTAGTACACAATCTCCTTACAATTCACTGAATATGGTTTCACCCATTTTTTTACTAAAAAAAATAGCATGAAAGAGTGATGTTTCTCCCTACAGTGTGTTCTCATATACATGTACTTATTATCAATATAGCATGAAGTAGTATTTAGAATTTCAATTGCATAAAATAATCCTTCCATTCTCAATTCTATTTCTTTAAGCTGTATACTTGTTTGTCCAAAAAGTTTTACATTACATTGACACAATGTTGAATGAATGAACTTATTTTTGGTCAGTATCATATGAGTAATTGTAGAAATTACTTCTAAAAAGAATATGAGCATAACATTTTTTAATGCAACTTCAAAAGTTTTTTGTGTGTTCTTTGCTGTGCATGTACTGATTCTGGTCAAGGATGGTCACCCCATATCCTTTGTTTTTATACGACCGCAAAAAATTTTTGCGGTCGTATATTGGTATGACGTTGGCGTCGTCGGCGGCGTCGTCCGAAGACACATTGGTTTTCGCACTCTAACTTTAGTTTAAGTGAATGGATCTCTATGAAATTTTACCATAAGGTTCAATACCACTAAAGGAAGGTTGGGATTGATTTTGGGGGTTATGGTACCAACAGTTAAGGAATTAGGGACCAAAAAGGGGCCAAAAATAAGCATTTTTGTCGAGCCTGCGACTTTTGTTGCAGAAAGCTCGACATAGGGATAGCGATCCGGCGGCAGCGGCGGCGGCGGTGTTAGCTAACTTCTTAAAAGCTTTATATTTTAGAAGATGGAAGACCTGGATGCTTCATACTTTGTATATGGATGCCTCATGTTACGAAGTTTTAGTCAGTCACATGTCCAATGTCCTTGACCTCATTTTCATGGTTCAGTGACTATTTGAAAAAAAAGTTCAGATTTTTTGTAATGTTAAATTCTCTCTTATTATAAGTAATAGGATAACTATATTTGGTATGTGCGTACCTTGCAAGGTCCTCATGCCCGTCAGACAGTTTTCACTTGACCTCGACCTCATTTCATGGATCAGTGAACAAGGTTAAGTTTTCGTGGTCAAGTCCATATCTCAGATACTATAAGCAATAGGTCTAGTATATTCGGTGTATGGAAGGACTGTAAGGTGTACATGTCCAACTGGCAGGTGTCATCTGACCTTGACCTCATTTTCATGGTTCAGTGGTTATAGTTAAGTTTTTGTGTTTTGGTCTGTTTTTCTTATACTGTATGCAATAGGTCTACTATATTTGGTGTATGGAATGATTGTAAGGTGTACATGTCTAGCTGGTAGGTGTCATCTGACCTTGACCTCATTTTCATGGTTCAGTGGTCAAAGTTAAGTTTTTGAGTTTTGGTCTTTTTTTTCTAATACTGCATGCAATAGGTCAGCTATATTTGGTGTATGGAATGATTGTAAGGTGTACATGTCTAGCTGGCAGGTGTCATCTTACCTTGACCTCATTTTCATGGTTCAGTGGTCAAAGTTAAGTTTTTGAGTTTTGGTCTTTTTTTCTAATACTATATGCAATAGTTCAACTATATTTGGTGTATGGAAATATTTTATGATCTATATGTCAGTCACGCAGGTTTTATTTGACCTTGACCTCATTTTCAAGGTTCATTGCTCAGTGTTAAGTTTTTGTGTTTTGGTCTGTTTTTCTTAAACTATAAGCAATAGGTCAACTATATTTGTTGTATGGAAGAATTGTTAGCTGTACATGCCTGCCTAGCATGGTTCATCTGACCTTGACCTCATTTTCATGGTTCGTCAATGTTTAGTTTACTTGGTTAATGTTAAGTTTATGTGACAGTTGTCATAAAGCTTTATATTTAGGACTATCAACATAATATCAATGATTAGTAAAGAAGGCGAGACATTTCAGCGTGTGCACTCTTGTTGTAACTTCCAGACATAACTTGTGTGTTAGTGTATGGATCTCTCTGAAATTGTACCACAAGGTTCCATATCACAAAGGGAAGGCTGGAATTGAGTTTGGGGGTAATTGCCCAAAACGTTTAGGAATAAGGGGCCAAAAAGGGGCCAAAAATAAGCATTTTTCTAGTTTCCAGACAATAACTTGTGTTCAAGTGTATGGATCTCTCTGAAATTGTACCACAAGGTTCCATATCACACAGGGAATGCTGGGATTGATTTTGGGGGTAATTGCCTCAAAATATTAGGAATTAGGGGCCAAAAAAGGGGCAAAAAACAAGCATTTTTCTAGTTTCATGATAATAACTTGTGTGTAAGTGTATGGATCTTTCTGAAATTGTACTACAAGGTTCCATATCACAAAGGGAAAGCTGGAATTGAGTTTGGGGATAATTGCCCAAAACGTTTAGGAATAAGGGGCCAAAAATAAGCATTTTTCTAGTTTCCAGACAATAACTTGTGTTCAAGTGTATGGGTCTCTCTGAAATTGTACTGCAAGGTACCATACCACAAAGGGAAGGCTGGGATTGAGTTTGGGGGTGATGAATCATAAGGGGTTTCAAAAAATTTGGGGGGGGGGGATTTTTTTTTTCCCCTTTTTTTCCATTTTTCCTTTTTTTTTTCTTTTAAAATTTTCCATTTTAAGTTGGTTATTTCTGTTTTATATTTAAAAGCAAATAATAATGATATGGTAGGAGATACACACCAAACAGGATGTGTAAATTATTATATAATAAGTATTGTGCAATAGCAAGAAATTTTCAATTGCACAGTATTGCACAATAGCAAGAAATCTTCAATTGCACAGTATTGCGCAATAGCAAGAAATCTTCAATTGCACCGTATCGTGCAATAGCAAGAAATATCCAATAGCACAATATTGCGCAATAGCAAGAAATTGTCAATTGTACAGTATTGCGCAATAGCAAGAAATATTTCAATTGCACAGTTAATTGTGCAAAAGAAGATACTTCGTATAAATTGCTTATTTCTTGACCAATTTCAATGGGGTTTTATTCTTGAATTCTTGGGGTTCTTTAATATGCTGATTCTTACCGTGTATTAAGATTTTGGATTTTGGGCCCCGTTTTTAAATTGGTCCACATTGAGGTCCAAAGGGTCCAAAATTAAACTTTGTTTGATTTCATCAAAAATTGAATTATTGGGGTATGCCGAATCTAACCGTGTATTTAGATTCTTAATTTTTGGTTCCGTTTTCAAATTGGTCTACATTAAGGTCCAAAGGGTCCAAAATTAAACTTAGTTTGATTTTAACAAAAATTGAATTCTTAGGGTTCTTTGATATGCTGAATCTAAACATGTATTTAGATTTTTTGTGGGCCCAGTTTTCAAGTTGGTCCAAATCGGGGTCCAAAATTAAACTTTGTTTGATTTCAACAAAAATTGAATATATGGGGTTCTTTGATATGCTGAATCTAACCATGTATTTAGATTTTTGATTTTTGGGCCCCATTATCAACTTTGTCCACATTGAGGTCAAAAGGGTCCAAATTAAACTTTGTTTGATTTTATCAAAAATTGAATTCTTGGGGTTCTTTGATATGCTGAATCTAACCATGTATTTAGATTTTGGATATTGGACCATAATAGGTGAATGTCCAATTTAAAATTTTAAAGTTCTTAGACCACATTCATTCTGTGTCAGAAACCTATGCTGTGTCAAATATTTAATCACAATCCAAATTCAGAGCTGTATCAAGCTTGAATGTTGTGTCCATACTTGCCCCAACTGTTCAGGGTTCGACCTCTGCGGTCGTATCAAGCTGCGCCCTGCAGAGCATTTTATTCTATTCTAGAAACAATTTTACACCAGGCAATAGAAAAAACAAAATATGTGCTATCTAATTTCTTTGGGAATGTGCTATTTACAAATAAATCTCTTAATCAAATTTAACACACCAACAGTAATTATTATACCCCCGCTTTAAAAAAGTGGGGGTATACTGTTTTACCTCTGTCTGTCCGTCCGTCCATTCATCCATCCGTCAGCCAGTCAGTCCATCAGTCCGTCAGTCCGTCTGTCCCATGAATATTTTTCGTCTCATTTTTCTCAGGAACTACATTACAAGGATTTCTGAAATTTGGTTTCAGGGTTTATATGAGTCAGCTATACAGTGTGATGCGTTTTCCGATTCATCACTCAACAACTTCCTGTTTACCCTTATACTTTTAGTGGTCTGGGGTATCATTAGTAAGCAGTAGCTCACAGATTCACTTGTTTGAACTCAATTATAATTTCTCAATAAACAGTTTATAATAAGACAGTAGTATTGTCAAATATGTCATATGTCATTACATTTTTGACTCGCCTTGATGGAGTCAAAAAGCGAGACATAGGTATGCTGTTTCCGACGGCGGTGGCGTCAACAATGTATTAGTTTGTGATTAGGTCTAGTTTATGGTGAACCACTAGTGTTAGGTCAATGATATTTAGTATGCAGTTGTATTAGCATTGGCACATCTCATTACCATGCAGATTATTTGGCCCTGCCTCCTCAGTCATGGTCTATTGACTTCTAAACTTTGCTTAGTTTACATGTATTAGTTTGTGATTAGGTCAGTTTATGGGGAACCACTAGTGGTAGGTCAATGATATTTGGTATGCAGTTGTATAAGCATTGGCATATCTCATTTCCATGGAGATTATTTGGCCTCGCCCCCTCAGTCATGGTTGTTTGACTTTGAAACTTTTGCTTAGTTTTCATGTATTAGTTTGTGATTAGGTCAGTTTAAGGGGGACCGTTAGTGGTAGGCCAATGTTAATTGGTATGCAGTGGTATAAACATTAGCACATCTTATTTCCACGGAGAATATTTGGCCCCGCCCCCTCAGTCATGGTCTATTGACTTTTGCTTAGTTTACATATGTATTAGTTTGTGATTAGGTCTGTTTAAGATAAACCACTAATGTTAAGTCAATGATATTTTGTATGCAAATGTATTGGCCTTTGCAAGTTTCATTTCCATGGAGATGATAACCCCACCCCCTTATTATGGTTCATTGACTTTGAAACTTTTACATAGTTTACAAGTTAATGTTTGTGTTTAGGTTTGTTTAAAGGGAACGACTTATGAAAAGTCAATGGTATTTGGTATGCAGTTGTATTAGCATTGGCACATCTCATTTCCATGGAGATTGTTTAGCCCTGTACCTTCAGTCATGGTTCATTGACTTTAAATATTTGCATAACTTACATGTTAAAGTATTGCTATTTTAATTTCAACATTTGCATTATCAAAATAACAAATAGGCGAGAGATATCTCTGTGATAACAGTTTTATTATAAACACTTTCTTTCCATTTATCAATAAATTTAACATAATTTTGAAAATGTTGTAGAATTTTAAGGAGTTTTGGAAATTCATGGGCCAAAAAATGGCTTTAATCTTACACTTTTAATTCTTTTGTTTATCTGTAATTGTTGAACGTAATTTATGTTTAATGTGGTTGTTTAACTAGGAAGCGTCTGATTATATCAATTAAATGAGTTTCTTATTTTAATATGCCCTGCCTAGGAACGGGAAATTAGTACAATCTCAGGTTAAAAGTTTTGGCCTAAGTTAGTTTACCGTGAAGTCATGGTCCCATCAACATGTTCATTATGAGGTGAAATATCTTAAATATATGCACAAAATTAAGATTTTAACCCAGAGCTGGGCATGGTGTCCAATGAATACGTATTCTTGTTCGAATATTGTTTTGAGTAGTGTAAAGTCTGAGGTCAGCCCAAAATAACTGATTTTTGGAATAAGTATTCTTGATCGATTTTGAAGAAGAAATGGTCAGTACCAAATAAAAAATTCACCATATTTTATCTTGACCTTTTTAACGAATGTGTGATATTACTACATGTTAGTGGTTAATAGAAAATTGAAATTCTAAGGTCCCTTTATTAATCTCCTGGTCAGTGTTCTATAGATGCAGTATCAGCTGTTCAAAAACCTGAGTATTATGTGAAAATAAAGGTAAATACAGGTAAATTATCATTCACAGCGTACATATAACATGTATAAGCTTGGGTTGTTAGGTATTTTCCCTCAACACAGAACTGAAAAAATTAGAAATCATCTGACAAAAACATTAATGAATATTTATTTTTTTGTTACAGTTCCATTGTTGGAAATGCGGTGATGTATTCTGCACTCGATGTATTGCCAAGAATATACCATTACCTGGACATTATTCCAAACGACCTGTACCAGTCTGTCGACCATGTTATAAGGACATTCGACACTCGCCTTCCATGGAATTTTCTCCACCAATCAACAACACAAGCTAACCACTGTCTTTTGTGATATATTTAGTTACTAGTCTTAACATACAAAAAACATGATGTATTTGATATAGTCTATGATTGAAGTAGAAACAAGTTTTTGAAGAATCAGTCATTCCATACTTATAGTTTATAAATCATTTGGTTGGAATAAATTTGCTTGAAATGTGTCTTGATTATCTCCCTTAGTTTAAGTTTTGTAATGATATTTTTTAAGGTTTATTTTAATAACAGAGACAACTTTGCTCCTATATTTTGGATAAAAAAAACCTTTCTAATGGGTTTATTTATACTTTGAAAGAACCTTTTGTCAGTGATTTATACTTGTCTTGTCTAGTCCATTGTTTTGTGTAACTTTATAAGAACAAAAATTTTTTCTCAGGTATAAGAAATTCTTTTTTTTTTCATGAGAATGTCAAAACCAATATTTTTATTAATGTATTATGCAAGCAGATGTTTTCAGAATTAGTATGCAGTTTGGAATTTTAAAACAAAGTCTAAACTTGAGTTGGAAATTTTTCAGGAAAAGAAGTACATGATACATAGTTGTCTCTGGTGGATAGTTGTCTCATTGGCAATCATACCACATCTTCTTATTTTTATAAACCCTTAAATGAATACAGTTGTCTTATGCCACATTTGGTGTCATGTTGAATCAAGACTATCTTCAGCTTCTGGGATTTCAATTTAGAATTATACAAAGTAAAGCAAAATTCCAGAAATGAGACAGCATTTATACTGTAAATTCAGAAATTATTGCTTGCATTTATTATTGCGATTTTTGAAGAATTGACAAAATGAGATTAATTATTTCAGGAAAAGCTGCATACAGATGTATGTATAAGATATCAGAATGTGAGTTCTTATTATTGTGATACTCCTCCAGTGGCATTATGTGCATTAATAAATACCTTGCAACAATTTCTGAATTTACAGTACTTGAAATTTAGGCAACTGCTATAGTTCCTATACCATGATGAACATATAAAGTCATATACTTGAATATGTTTACATGATTTGCACATTTGAATCATTTCCTTGATTGAACCGATGCTTTTCCTCCAATTTTAAGATGATGTTTGGTATCAATCACTTGTATGAGGTCACAAATTTCCTCTTGTAACAAATAAAATTCAATGATATCATTTCTATATTTATTTCATGTAATAGAGGACAGATGTTAAAGTTAGATATTAATTTGGGTGTATTATTTATGCATTTTATTGTTTATCAGAAACTGTTTGTAAATTTGTAAAACACTCTCACAGTGGTAATATCTTAAACTGGCAGTGATGTATATATATTTTAGTTTAACACTTCTGCAACTATTTTCACAAAAAATCATGGCAGTCATGAAGATTTCAGTATAACTTAAGATTAATTTTGAATTCAAGATTTTTTGTGAAAATAGTCTGTCAAATATATATTTTTGATTTAGTATATTTTGTTACATATAAATCTTATACTTTTGTTCTCTATATATTTTGTTTATAATGAAGGGTTAGTGCAATGTTATTTAATTTGTTCAATTTATTTTGTTTTTTTTTTGGGACAAAAATTCTAGAATATGGTGATAATTATAGCACAGATTTCAAAATACACCTTTCAACATTTAGCTTTCTTTTCCTGAAATAATTTTGATATATAAGTTTATTTGATGAAAAATGGATGCCATTTCGAAGATGAGCCAAACATGCAACATTGCAAAATCAATATAATGACTAAATGAAGATTTTGTTTTGTTTAAAGGCATGGTAATACAAAAAGAGCACACATATAGACTGTTTTTATCTTATGCTTTATAGAATGAGATAAAGGAACAGTATAATATGCTTTGCTCCTGTATGTGAAGTAGGTATCAGTAATAAAAAAAGAAAGTGTGTAGAATCAAGAATTTTTTCCTTCTTTCAAAATTGGTAATAATTGTTGATCAGTGTATTTGATGTATTGAATTCACATGAAAAATTATATTACTAAATGATTAAACGGCATTTCCAAAAATTCTGCAACATTATATTTTGATACGGTATTTTTAAATTAAAATTGATACACAACTGACATAAATTTTTTTGTAGTTGTAGTATTATCAATTAAAAACATGGACAATGAGAACCTCAAGATTTAGTATTAATTTCTCTGCACATTTCATCATTTAAGGGTCATCAGAAAAATAGAATCACATCATTGATATTATTAGCATCACATTACGTAGATGGTACCTTTATACCTTTTCATACACAATTTTAGAGCTTGAATCAAAATGGGAATTTCATTATTTCTATTTGTGTACTTAGCAATAAAAGGAAAACACATTTTGTAGCATATACATAAAACATTCCACACACATATATATATATTATTTGTTAATACTGTTTTATTTGATGAAACAATTTCTTTTTTTTTAATTTAGTTAAATAATATATAGACCTATAGAATATTTTGCATCCCTGTTTGAAAGATGAGACAGAAGGAGAATGAATTTTAAAATATTTCTTTTGAAACATAAAGACTACCGGTACCCAAATTTGAGTGAAAGAAAACACTAAAATGTGCATTGTTGTTACTGTTTTTTGAATAACCTTATTTGGCATGGCTACATTTTTGTTAGTTTGGAATTCGTTTAATTAAAGCTCTCTACTGTCAAGAAATAAAAAAAACAACCAGTAACAATTGTCTCATCGTCAGTATTTTACATAAATATCTGTAAATGTATTCGTGTACAGTATGTTTATCTGGTTGATATGAGTCTGTACAATACGGGTCAGATATAATCAGTTCAGTCACATTATAATTTATGTTCTTTTATGTGGATGCTTCTGTTTGGTAGTTTTGTGACATAACTCTATGAAATTGTCACATTTCTGGTGAAACCAGTTTTCTTTATGCAACATTTGGATCGAAAATAATTTTAGTTATTTGAGTGAATAAGTTTTATAAAACCATGAAAATTTGTGCGCGTTTAATCTTTCCTTTTAAAAATTTTGACCATAAGCCAGATATGTTTTACATTGATCGTAAGTCAATAAAAAGATAGATTCTAGAACTGTGTAAACGACGTTTAAAAAAATGACGAAAGATTTACAAACAGAAGTACTTATACACATGCAGATGTAAAAAAATCTGTTTTGAATTTTGCCAGAATTTGATGTTACCTCTATGGTAAAATAAAAAATTAAAAAACTGTTCATTTTAATAAATGTTGTTTCAAAATGAAAAATCTTGTATACTTGCCATCTGATAGTTCACTGAATTAGAATTTTTTGTGACATCTGTTATAGTCCCTCGTTTCATGCTAATGTTTAGTAAGGATCTTATTTTTGTTCCATTTGGTTAAAGGTGCTTTATAAAGAATGTCATAGTAAGTTTGTGTTGCATAGTTACTTAGTTTTTATATGCAAAGTATTGTATACCAGCTCAAAGCTAGCTATAACACAGTAGTTTGCTTTGAATGTTTATAACAAAATGAAACACCAAATAAATTTCCATACATCAGTGTTTCTTCTTGTTAATTTTTGCAATGCTCTATATATGAATAAAAGATAATATGAGGCATACATCGTTGAGACACAACCAAAGTTCAAAAGACATTTATGTCAACATACAAACTTCATTTTTTGGAATGAAGAAAGCTTGATGACTGCATGATAAAAGCTGAACATACATGTATAAAAATACAAAAGCAATTGAAACAGCAACCCTTCTAAGACAATATATCACACAGTGAGCATTTCCCACACAATATTGGTACACTTGGTGTAAAACATATAAAATGAGATAACCAACTGTTGATATTGGAAAAATATTGCCCAACCCTCACCTAACCTGGAACAGTGGTGAAACAGCACAACATAAGAACAAACTATAAAAAACATTTAACACATCAAATCAATACAAAGCACAAAAACACTAAAGACGCAGAGATCTGTTATTACTCACAATTACTGAAAGCTAGTTGAAAGCCAATAACAGAAAATTCTAATAAAGCAAAGCATGTATCTAACACTAAAACATCAATCAGTGTACACATTCAACATCCAATGGATTTAGTGTAAAAGCGTCATTAACAATCAGAGAAAATAAAAGTGAGAATGGAAATGGGGAGTGTGTCAAAAAGACAACAACCAGACCAAAGAGCAGAAAACAGCACAAGGTTACCAATGGGTATTCAACACAGCGAGAAAATCCCGCACCCAGAGGCGGGCTTCAGCTGGCCCATAAACAATAATGTATACTATATGTAGTTCAGCGAAAATGGACATCGCACTTAACTCTGAAACATGTAAATGAACCAAAATTTTAAAAAAACATACAAGACTAACAAAGGTTCCTGACTTGGGACAGGTGCATGATCTTGCACTTAGCCTTACAGGACATGCTATCTTAAGCCTTAAAAAAGAGTTTATCTAACATGTTATTTGCCAAACTTTTCACTTACTCCTCTGAAACTACTAATAAATGAGATCTAAACTAGGCAAGAATAGTTGTATATATGGTCCTTTATCTGTTCAATTTAAGATTGTTAGGAATCTTGCTTGATTCTATTGGCCATTTTTTTCTCCCCTGCAAAGGATGCACAGGAATGCTAATCTGGTGACGGTATAAGCTTTTGTACATACCGGTAGCTTCAATTCTCAAAAGGTAAAAGAGCTTGATAATCCTCATCTAACATACAGGTAGGTGCCTTGTGGTCTGAAGTCTGCCATATGTCCATTGACCTTGACCCTATTTTCATTGTTCAATGACTGCCTAAAAACACTATTTTTGTATCATATGTTTTTTTTCGCAGTTAATATGAGTTATAGGACATCTATATTTGGTGTATAGAGCCATTGCAAGGTTTTCATGTTCATCAGATAGGCTTCACTTGACCATTTCTTAATGTCATACTTCATTTGTCAACATTTAAGTTTTCTTGATTAAGATCTTTTTTAAATACTATAAGTAAAAAAAAATTGAAAGCCAATGCATGTATACATGTATGAATAAGGGAGGAGCTATATGATCCAAAGGGACCTAAAAAGAATATCCTAATTCACCTAATGTCAACTTTGGCTACGGGAGTTGGAACCTTAGTTTCTTTGAGCAGAAAACAGCCTAAGGCCACCAATGGGACTTCCATGCAACAAGAAAATCCCAAACCCAGAGTTGGGCTTCAGCTGGTTCCTAAACAATAATGTATACTAGTTCAACAAAATGGACCCCACACAAAACTCTGAAACATACAAATGAACCAAAATTAAAAAAACACACAAAACTAACAAAGGCTAGAGGTTCCTGACTTGGGACAGGCTGAAAAATGTGGCAGGGTTAAACATGTTTTGTGAGATCTCAACCCTCCCCTATACCTCTAGCCAATGTGGAATAAACATACACACAGCAAAACGCATAGTAAAACTCTGAAGTCTGATGGTAGAATAATGTACAGTTTATGTTTAGACATCTGAACAATGATATCCTAAATATGCATTAAATATTTTACAGTAGATGTCAAGAAACCAACTATCAATCAGTCTCAAAGACGAATACAAAATTACTAGGTTACTGGTGATCTTAATTAATTAAAAAAAATAAAATTATAAAATTTTGAATGTCTTTGCAATGGTTAATTATATGATTGGATTGCCTCCCTTGAGTAGTATATACCAACCCATTATCAGTTGAACTATGGAATAACTTCTTTAGCTTAGTCAATTAGAGCTCTGTTTTGGAATCCTGTGTTCGATTCCAAGAGGTGAGGAATGAGGATATGTAATTTTCTGATGAAAATCATGCTCTCAGGTTACAAATACACAGTCCTTCAGAAGATTTTGGGTTTGGAAGCTGGTAGTGCTGTTGTCAATATTCTATCGTTAAATGGTGTCAATGATCATGTATAAAAACTAGAGGCTCTAAAGAGCCTGTGTTGCTCACCTTGGTATATGTGCATATTAAACAAAGGACACAGATGGATTCATGACAAAATTGTGTTTTGGTGATGGTGATGTGTTTGTAGATGTTACTTTACTAAACATTCTTGCTCCTTACTATTATCTCTATCTATAATGAACTTGGCCCAGTAGTTACAGTGGAAAATATTTTGTAATAAAATGCTTCGCTTGGGCGCAGCTTGATACGACCGCAGAGGTCGAACCCTGAACAGTTGGGGCAAGTATGGACACAACATTCAAGCTTGATACAGCTCTGAATTTGGATTGTTATTAAATATTTGACACAGCATAGGTTTCTGACACAGAAAGAATGTGGTCTAAGAACTTGATTTTTTTTAATTTACCTGTTATGGTCCAATGTCCAAAATCAAAATACATGGTTAGATTCAGCATATCAAAGAACCCCATATATTCAATTTTTGCTAAAATCTAACTAAGTTTAATTTTGGACCCTTTGGACCTTAATGTAGACCAATTTAAAAAACGGGACTTAAAATTAAAAATCTAAATACACGGTTAGATTTGGAATATCAAAGAACCCCAATAATTCAATTTTTGATGAAATCAAACAAAGTTTAATTTTGGACCCTTTTGACCTCAATATGAACCAATTTGATAGCGGGGCCAACAAATAAAAAATCTAAATTCATGGTTAGATTCAGCATATCAAAGAACCCCATATATTCAATTTTTGTTGAAATCAAACAAAGTTTAAATACTGGACCCTATCTTGGACCAACTTGAAAACTGGGCCCATAATCAAAAATCTAAACACATGTTTAGATTCAGCATATCAAAGAACCTCATATATTCAATTTTTGTTGAAATCAAACAAAGTTTAATTTTGGACCCCAATTTGGACCAACTTGAAAACTGGGCCCATAATCAAAAATCTAAATACATGTTTAGATTCAGCATATCAAAGAACCCCATATATTCAATTTTTGTTGAAATCAAACAAAGTTTAAATACTGGACCCTATCTTGGACCAACTTGAAAACTGGGCCCATAATAAAAAATCTAAACACATGTTTAGATTCAGCATATCAAAGAACCCCAAGACTTCAATTTTTGTTAAAATCAAACTAAGTTTAATTTTGGACCCTTTGGACCTTAATGTAGAGCAATTTAAAAAACAGGACCCAAAATTAAAAATCTAAATACACGGTTAGATTTGGAATATCAAAGAACCCCATTAATTCAATTTTAGATGAAATCAAACAAAGTTTAATTTTGGACCCTTTTGACCTCAATATGAACCAATTTGATAACGGGGTCCACAAATAAAAAATCTAAATACATGGTTAGATTCAGCATATCAAAGAACCCCATATATTCAATTTTTGTTGAAATCAAACAAAGTTTAATTTTGGACCCCAATTTGGACCAACTTGAAAACTGGGCCAAAAATCAAAAATCAAAAATCTAAATACATGTTTAGATTCAGCATATCAAAGAACCTCATATATTCAATTTTTGCTAAAATCAAACAAAATAAATAAATGTGATCAAAGATTTTACAAATCTAATGCGCCATACTGTGCAATTAAAGATTACATCTTGAAATTTTTCAATATTTGAAATTTGAAAAAAAAATAATATTTGAAGAAAAATTCTTTTTAATTTCTGAAATCTGAAATGAGAAAAAATTGACCCCCCACAATTTCTTTTTATCCCCCCCCTCTTTTTTCCCCCAAAAAATTCTTTCCCTCAAGATATGGTCATAATCTCAATTCAAATTTCCAATGGAATTGGCAACCATAATTACCCATTTAAATTTACCATAGTGCTAACTTAATCTATTTTATAATAGAATTAAAAATATAGTGTCAAATCTTTCATATGGATTTTTTTGTAAAAAAAAAAGATGCAACATTTGCAGATATTTTTACTGGTCTTCCTTTATAAATATGCATTTCTTTAAACATAATTTAAAAGCAGTGTAAGGGAAGTAACCAAAACGTTGTATTTGGATTACCTCCCTTACACTGTTTTAAATTATCTTTATTGTTCATTAACCATTACTTTATACATAATTTAAAAGCAGTGTAAGGGAGATAATTTCAATGATGTATTTGATTTATCTCCCTTACACTGCTTTAAATTATGTTTTGTACTAAAGTATTTGTCCATTAACCAGGACAACCTTGTTTTTCCCCCTTTTTTGCCCCTAATTCCTAAACGGTTTGAGCCATAACCCCCCAAAGCAAATCCTAACCATCCCTTTGTGGTATGGAAACTTGTAGTATAATTTCAGAGAGATCCATACACCGTTCCACAGTTATTGTCTGGAAACTAGAAAATGCTTATTTTTGGCCCCTTTTTGGCCCCTTATTCCTTAACTGTTGGTACCATAACCCCCAAAATCAATCCCAACCTTCCTTTTGTGGTATTTAACCTTATGGTAAAATTTCTAAAAGATCCATTCACTTAAACTAAAGTTAGAGTGCGAAAACCAATGTGTATTCGGACGACGACGCCGGACGACGACGACGGCGGACGACGACGACGACGACGCCAACGTCATACCAATATACGACCACAAAATTTTTTTGCGGTCGTATA